AACTTACACCTAAATCCGTCAAGTGTGCATTTCTAAGATATGTTGGGACTCAAAAAGAATATGTATGTTACGATCCTAAGACACATCTTAATAGGATCTCTCATAATGTTGTTTTCTTTGAAAAACAAACTTCACTTCAGAAATTGATATTTTTCCCCTGTATTCTCTGTCTTGCTTGATTTTTCTACAAAACTCTCTGGTACAAGCCGGGTTTGGTTTACACACAGGCATGCTGTAGCAATCGAAAAAAAAAATGTTTTACTTCGTTCTAAAATAAAATTTTCCTATAGGACTCAAATATAATCTGGGTCATATTATTATGTTGCTACGACACTTCCTAATAGTCCAAATTAAACTTTGGTCACGAATGTAAAATTCGGCAAACTTGATTTTCTTAAATTTTACAAGGTGTTAAAATCGCTATTAACCGACAAAATTTTATGTTAATTTGGTAACATTATTTTTCTTACGACACACTTTATTTTAATACTACCATTTTTGTTTCCATTATGTAATTTTTTTTGAAATTGGACAAATTACTTGCATGTTTCATCATCCATCATTTATGCTCCAACTTATCATTTTAATAAACTTCCATTTTTGTCAATGCCATAACCCCACTTAGCATATTAAATTTCAAAAATGTTAATTGTTAACTACCAACCAATTTCATTTCCATAAACTGCCATTAGTGTTTAATTATCCACAAACCAATACCTTTTCCATGAACTACCATTTGAAAATCAATTTACAAGTTCCATGCCAACCGTCACTTTCATTTAAAATTTAAAAACAATAACTACCCATAATTTCTAACGGCACGTCCATCATTCAAAATCCACCAATTATTTTCACTTAACATTTTAACTCTTATCTAAACAATTTCAATTTCAACCTACCCACCAAGTGCATTTTAACATCCGCTTTTGCACTGCCATGAAACCGTCTCTTTTGTTTTAAGTTGTGAGTTCATTTTCAAAGCTGAAATCTCAACTTCTTTAGCCACGCTCTCTCCCTATTATACTTATGCATCAAATTATTTTGCCCCTTCTTCCATAGACAAAAAGAACTTTGAATTTGAAAATTTCTAAAGAAAAGGGCAAGACGTACACTGCATTTTAATCTTTGGACACGAAAGGATATTTCAAACTCCAAGCATTAAGGTAGGGGTGTTTCGGCACTTATGTAAGTGATGTAAGATTTATATATTTTCGTTTGCATTAAATGTGTTATTGTGTTACTCATGATGGAATCACCGTTTGGTGGTTTAAACAAGAGATGATTATGACAAATGAAATGGGGTTATAAAAAACCTAAGAATAAGCGGACTGACTGATCACCAATTCGCTTGAAATTGACGGTGACACAATTGACCAAAGTTTGCATTTCTGAAATATATATTTTTACCGTTTACTTAAGTGTTTCCTACTGAGTATTATTTATAGTAGCCCCTTCTAAAATTTTATAGGTTAAGATCGAGGCATGGTAGTGGTTGGCCTAGTGACAAGTGTTCAGCGATCTGAAATGCTTTCACTTTATAGTAAAGATTTCCATTTTGTAAATATTTTATGGAACTTAGATGAACTTTTAGAAATGCTTTTTAATGTTTATTTTGTCCCATTTTTAGACAGTGCATGTTAACAAGAATTTGAAAGTGTTGGATTGATTTGTATGAAGTTTTATTTTATGCTAGGTGGAAATTTCAGTTTCTGTCCTTCTAGTTGAAAATAGCATAACTTGGGCTAAAGTGCATGTTTTAAAGTGAAATTAGTTGAGTTTGAAAGATCCATGAATCTTCTAATTGTAGCCTTTGGAATTTCCTCAAAATATTATCTAGAGAAAAAGTTATGCTCATTTTAGTAAACTGCGTCGTTGCAAATCCGAGTTTTCTGTCCAGCATTTTAGAGCAACATTTTCTTGCTTCAAACGTTATTGTCAAGACCCCAAAATTTTATATGTGGTACATATATGAATGCTTTAGTCCCTGTAAAAATTTCATAAATTTTAATAGACATTCGCTTGGTCAAATATATTATCCTTCCACTGTAGTTAAATCCATAATTATCGATTTGCCTTCAAATCTTTTACAAATCGAATTTTGCTACATCTACCTAAGTTTATATGGATAACTACCTTCCATTATATTTTATATATTTAAAAAAAAAAAAAAGGATTTGGATTTATAAAATACTTTAGCTAGCGTCAAAGGGGTCGAACCAAAGAAAGAAACGAATATTATTTTAACGCTTCGGTTCCAAGAATTACACATGCTGTATTGATCACGGCTCTCGAGCCTCTTTCTCCAACGGCTATCTCCCCAGGCCTTCCTGATCCTCCACGTATGGCATTAGATTCTTCATCAGATGATCTTTCGCCTCCTGTCACTTTTTGTTGCACTTCACGTGTTCCATGACCTCTAGATAGGATAGCTTTTCTTCCCATAGCTATATGTCTGCTACCCTTTACTCCATTTCCATTCCTACCTCCTATAGACAAGCTATAGAACAAGAGTGTTAGCAACAAGCAATAAATGCAAAACTTGAGACTCTTGAAGCCAACCAAACTTGGAATGTGGTGCCATGTCCCCTAACTCTAAACACATTGGGAGTAAATGGGTATATTAGGTCAAACTTCGTTCTAATGGGTCTCTACATCAAATGGATGTAAAGAACGCATTCCTACATAGAGATCTTAAGAAAGACATTTTTATGAAACTTCCATCTGGTATGCCTCTTCCCTCAACTAACTTTATATGTAAGCTTTAACACTCCTTGAATGGTCTTAAGCAGGCTCCTTGAACAAATTTTAACAAGTTTCGTCGCACTCTTCTGGATTTCTCCTTTATTCAAAGTCAATATAACGCATCTCTATTCTTTCAAGAGAGTACTAATAGCATCGTCCTTTTAGTATATGTGGATGATATCATAATCTCTAAATCTGATCATTACCTTATTTAGAAGTTTCAACAGCATCTTCACTCCGTTTTTCGTATGACAGACCTGGGTCATCTCACTTGCTTCCTAGGCTTAGAAGTTCATAATGCACTGCATGGTATCTTCTTGAATCAAAATAAGTATATTCAAGATTTGATTAAGTTGGCTCATTTATTTGAAGCCTCCTCTGTTGATACTCTGTTGGAACTTAATGCTAAATATCAAAAAGATAAAGGCAATATTCTTTCAGATCCTACTCTATATTGGAAGTTGGTTGACAGTCTCATCTATCTCACTATCATACATCCGGGTATTTCTTTCGCAGTTCACACTATCAGCAAATTCATGGACACCCCTTGTCATCTACATTTGGTAGCTAACTGAGCAGAATGTCCTGATTCTTGTAAATCTACTATTGGGTGGTATCTCTTTCTAGGTAATGTTCTCATTTCCTGGAAATGTGAGAAACATGATTGTGTTTCTAAATCCTACACTGAAGCTGAATATCGAGCTATGTTCGCTGCATATTCTGAGATTGTGCAGTAGCATGGTCTTCTCGCAGAACTTGATTTTTCTCAAATTTCAACCTACATCTCTCCACAGTGACAACACTAGTGCTATTTACATTGCAACTAATCATGTATACCATGAACGCACCAAACAAATCGAAGTGGACAGTCATTAAATCCGAGACGCCTATGATTTCAAAGTTGTTCTTCTCCTCCATGTTTCCACCAGTCAACAAGTTGCAGATATCTTCACCAAGTCTCTGAATCATCTCCATAAATTTCTCGTCAACATATTGATGCTCCTAGACCCACCCGTTGGGGTTGTAGAGGCGCCATTTGGGTTTCCTTATATGGCTTAGACAAATCACATAAAATCAGGGATTAATTTTCCTTTTTGTACAACTAAGTTTTCCTTGTACATCTTTGTAAATTCTAAATGTATTTAAGGCAATGAAACGAAAGGATCATCGAACAAAATTGGCATCAAGATTTTGACCTCAAGCTATAGCTTTAGAAGAGTAGTCGCACTGATTGATGCGTAGCATCTTCGCACTCGCTCCTAGCTTTTTAGGAAATTTCTATTCCTTCTAGTACCTAGCTTAGCACTTCTTTGAAAATCCTTTTCTACATTTTCCTTTATCAATAAAAACCTTATGCAGATACTATTACCTATCATATGATCTTTCAATATAACTTAAAAAACATAAATAATATTTCTTTTTTTTAACTTTCTATCCATGATTGGAGTTTATGAATAGACTTCAATATTAAGCCCTTGTTAGAGCCCCATTATCCTGTAAAAATGTGTGGTTGAAAAGTAAGAAAAAGTTTTAGGTTTACACGTTAAATTATTTTATTAAGGAATGTGTGGTTGAAAATAAGTTTGGAAAAAAATGTATTATTGAAAAATGGGGCTCAAACAAGGGCTATATCTCCTAGGATAAACTGAACTAAATCCATGAGACCATGAATTGATACTCAACTATCCTCTCCCATAATCTTGTAATATGCCTTTGTTTTTTAGACAATAAAAATTACCAAAGGTCAACATTACAATATAACTGAAAGGATATCACACATCTCAATGTTCAAAAGAAGAATGTATACAATAAACTTATTTTCTGTGAGACTTCACATTAATAAATTTTTCAAGCAGTACCAATAATAATGCTCAATAGTAGGACCAACATGTATCGACATGGACCCGATATAGAAGCACCATGAATATCTTTTAGTTTTGCATCAACAATCTTTCCCCCTTCTAAATCAGGAACTTTACAGCTCACAATCCTTACAATACAATGTGTCATATGTTGCTAACAGTTCTCTTCTTCACAAAACTTGATCCAAAAAGATAAAAATTAGAAACAATGGTTTGACAGAAATAGTTTAGTTGCATATTTGTTGGACCATATTCCTTAGGAAAATATCAACATGAAAAATAATGTCTTAAAACTCAACAGTTAACACCATAAGGATAGGTCATTACTCTATTTCATATAAACTCCTATAATCACCTTAAAGGAATCAAGTATGTAGTATAAAGAGATAACAATACCTGATGATCCATAAATATTCTAGGGGGAGTACACCAAGCACCCTTATATTGCAGCCCCTTGCCAACAGAGCTTCTTCCGCTGATGGCAGTAACAGCAGAACTCGTTGGTGAAGATGGCAAACTTTGCTGATCTCCTTCATCTACAGAAGGTCCAGGAGGCTCAGTTTGAGTCCTCATAGCAACAACATACTCATATGTTGTGATACCCTACAAAAGAAATTGTAGTATGAGTGCTACAAAATTAAACTTTTCCTTACATGCACATCTGCGCACTTAAAATGCACATACAAACACAAATGCACATCATACGGCCATAACACTAGCACACATATAGAGAGACAAATGACAGTCAAAAACACGTACATGTACATTCATAGCGAGAGCAACTAGATTCGTACCTTTCGGATAAGGATTATATGGAAAAAGAACAATTCTCCCAAAGGTACCATTGCAAGCAAAGAAACAGCTGTACAGAGCGCCTGTAACAAGATAAATAGTAAAATTGAATCTGTACAGGATAAAGTTCTGTTGGCATGAATCTGGCTTCTGTATGTTCTCTTAATGGAAAAAGATGGTCAGATCTATCTTTTATTTCTTTCACATAATTCCTAAAATCAATCGAGTGGAGCACCAAGGCCAGTCTTGATAATGAATTTTGATCTCCTAACTCACAGATCTAAATTACATGAGCAAAAAGATTCATAAAATATTGAAAATTAAATTATTTCGTGAACTAGAGATAGATGAATCACCCAATTTTACTTTTAACAAAAAGTAGTGTAATATACCACTACTGTAGCGAAAGGCGGACGAGAGAATCCATCTCCAAGCCTTGCAGTTATCTGATTCTCTGTAGCCTTTCTCTCAATAAAGCAGCGAACAAGGACTGCAATGCCCACCCCACATTCAAAAACAAGCTGGCAAGTAAAGCCAAACGTTATTTAGAGACAAATGGATGGGGGAGGGGAAGAAAACCTGACAGAATAAAGCTATTTTGTATAAATCTTACCCAAACAAGGCTTGCAGCCATTAAGCACACAAATGTGATATAGTTTTTTCTGCCCACGCAATTATTCAACCACTGCTAGGATGAAATGCCCCATTGCTATTAGCCAAGAAACAATAAAACGCAATATGTTTGTATTGCAGAGATGATTGCTCATTATGAAAATGAGTAACAGAGAATAAATAGTAATCACGTAGGTTTTATTCATTTCAAGACAAAACCATATATTTCACTTCTATTGTGATAGACCTTCTACTATATTCATTTTGAGCTTCCCAATCACAATTGAATCTCAAACTTACTCGGCAATGATGATCAAATCCATCAACACATTTGTCACAACTTCTACAGTGTTTGCTGAACTTGCGCACCTAAGAAAGAAGAAAGACTATGGAAAATATGCATCTTTAATTGATATACATGCAAAAGAATGTTCAGATGCTGATAACAAGAATATCAATAGGTAAGGAAACAAAGAAACTTAAGACATAAAAAATGGCATCCTGTATGAAGAAAGCTTGGATCAATGCTTTGTTTATCTGTTTCTTTCTTTTCAGTTAACTTTGAAAAAGAGAACAGGAAGAACAAACACGAAGGTGTAAAGGGCTAGTGTGCCTTGCTGCACTGGCACGAAATTCAAGGATTACATATTGAATTTAGTTAGGCCTAGAATTTATGATTCTACAGAACCACCCATACAATGATGCTGAAATAATGACACAAGGGCAGCATTAATTATATTTGAACCATGAAGAATGCTCTCAGAAGTAGTAATAGAATTGCATACTTGTTCTTATCATACTCCAAATATTCCTTCACCTATTCCCTCTCAATTTTACCTCATCTCATATCATAAGGTAATAATTTGGCATGCATGGTAAGTAGTTTCAATAGGGGCTACAGTGGCAGATCAAACGGACTATGGAACCCCCCCACCCCCAGCTCTCTAAACTTTCATTCTTCAAGGATAAAGTCCAGATGTTTTAGACTAGCAGTTCCATGTTTCAATTAAATCACATCTACTAACTTTTTTCTCACTTCTATAGCTCTCTCACTAACATGTACCTTTTCTCTTTTAAAATTCCAGAAAGAGAGAATTATAGCTCCATAGTTTTGCATGTGTCAACAAAAATAAGAAAATGAAAATACAGATTTCATATTGTGAACGCCAAAGAGCAGCTTGTTTTATTTTCTCAAGTTTGAAATTTGGTCTTTTAATGAAATAAAACATGGGGCTCAAAGTGGGTTTCCAAACAAGCATTCATGGTGACACCAATTACAGTAACAGATTTTTTATTTTTTTCGCTGAAACAAGTTAAAGCTAATGGTTCAGACCATTTACATTTTAAAAAAAGTATAGTAAACTGATTTTCAATAATGAGATTTTCGATAATGTAACTCTGACTGGCTATGATAAGAAATATATAGTCATTTCCTAAATCCTGATTATTTATTATGCCTTCCACATAATTATAAATAAAAATTTGTTAAACTGTGTACCTCAGCATTGCACAATGTGCAGAATAAAGCCTCCTCCTCACCATTTTGCTCTGCTACATGATCTTCATCTTTACGGCAATCTTCTGTCACAAGACAACAACAAAGAAAGCCTCCAATTTTCGAACAACATCCTGCATCATGCCTGTGAGATATTTCTCCATTCTTTAATTCCATCTTGCTTGGATCCTCAGTGGTAGATATATCTAATCAAAACCATAAAACTATCAACAAAAACTGGAAAAATTGCTCTAATGTGGAAATTTCAAATCAAAGTAGTCCGCTTCCATCAAAAAAGAAAAGAGAAAAAAACTTCTAGTGCAGTCACGTCATAATTCTTAGGGCCTTGTTCAAGTATCTGTCCAGAAGGTCCAATAATGGTGCACTTGTAGGTTGTGCAATAACTCATATTGCGAGTACAGTAAATATCCTTGATGTTCCAATCAGGTACTGTATCTGATCATTTTATTTTTCACTTGTAAAATGGTTGAATTGCTTACCAGGCACCTCTGTTCCATTATGTGATCGATAAGTAGATGACTTATCACCTTCAATGAGAATTCCAGGATCAGCAGGATTAATAGCTGTGCACCTTGTGTAAAGTATAAATACAGACAGTGCCTGGAAATATTAATTACATTGAATAAGCAGCAGTAACGCTTCTATCAACCAGATCATGACGGGATTCTGCAAAAATAACAAAAAGACTAAGCACAGATTGCACTTACCAGGAAGGAGTAAATGCCCATTGCAAAGTACTCGTAGATGTCTTTCCCAAGAAATGGAGCAAAAAAAGCATAGAAAGCAACAGATAACAAGAAAAAAACTGTTATAGCCACAACCTGCATTGCAACAGAAACAAACAGAAAGATAAAGTGAGAATGGGCCTGCAAGGCTCAAACCTAATTTACTAATTAGAAGAAAGAAAATTATACTATAGAATACTCTTAACTATTTGACATAAAATGAACAATGAACTGGAATTTCATGCTTTGACCTTATATAAATGGGACTCAAGAATTTTGATGCAGCGAAGGCGATAATATTACTATCTCTAAAAGAATATAGCAGGATCAGAGTCCCAGTATAAGCTAATACATGAAGTCTGATTCAAAGGAATCTGCAGTGAGCAAATAATGCCGAAACATTGCATTAAAACCACAGCTATAATGGACTGGCAAGGTGTATTCTTGGATAATAAAACTATAGTTTTTGAATTTCAATAACCCAGTAAAATAAGCAATGTGATACAATGGGAAAACCAATCATTAGCCTTCATGCTTTAGATGACCTGGAGCAAAACTCTCGTGAAGCAACAATCTTATTCCACTAACAACACAAAAATCTGAAGGACCAGTTCTCAAAACTGTAGAATAGAAATAGTAGAGTATAGAGGGCCAAGCATTTTTAAGTTTTTCCTAGTATTTCATCTTTTGTACATATTCCATTAGTTTGTCAATTGTGGGGAAAAAAAAAAATTACCATGCAACCTCAGAAAAAGAAAACTATCCATCAACATCAAGTTAACTTGATTTTAACCTAAGTTGCTCGATCTCAAAATAAGTAAATCATACTTTGAGCAATAATATGTGCTAGTTGCAACACTAGCTCTTTCAAGTTTTCAAATACACAGTATTGAATATTTTCTCTTAGTATTTTATTTTCATTTTTGTAACCAAGTACGAAAAATTAACACATTGTAACCCGGACTTGAAAAGTAATAATTAATCGTTAGAATCCCAACTACAGATTAAAAAAAAAAAAGGAAAAAAAGAACCCACATTTCGAAATCAAATACCCACGAGAAATTTTCCGAATTTCCAACGGTTAAAACAAGAAGCTGAAAATATCGTACCTGAAAGGAGTGAGCGGGGAGTTGCCATCCGTGACGTCTAGCCATTGTCGACAACCAAGTCAAAAGGTCGATATCATTTACAGTTCAAATATCAAAATTTGGCAAATCCCACTCAAGAAAAAGGATGAATGTGAATAACTGAACAAATGGCTCAATAAATATCAATTTTTCTTTCTATTTCTAGCATAATCACAGAGGCATTATACTCAGATGAACTACTTCATAATTCAATGCTGATTCAGATGTTAAGAACCCAGTGTAAGACGATCCATCTACTACTTCAAAGCTATAGAGCTTCTGCAGTTCGATTTGTGAATCAAAGAACCATGTGGAAGAAGAAGAAGGAGGAGGAGGGTTCCTTGCAACTGCTATTTTTAGATTCTTTTTTCACCGCAGCACTGCTATTATTTTCTGTTAAATAGAACGATAAAAGGAGGTCATGAAAAGAGCCGGATTCCTTTTCATTTTTTATCTTTTTGAGTTACTAATTGGTCCAATAATTAAATGAACTACTTTCCAAATGGTATGTGTGTTTATTTATTTACAAAAGTTTCAATATTTTACTTTCAAAAATTTTGTTACTTATTATTAAATATATAGGTCGATTACACAATATCATACCGTTTATGATCACAATCATAGACTATTCACAAATTTCACAAGGTCACAATTATAATGACACAAATTCACAACTACAAATTTACTCGTTAATCACTCATTTTTAGGACACTTAATATTTGATGATCACAAATTATTTATTTTATAGATTATAATTAGCCAAATAATTGATCAGAATTATTTTTATCTTATCCCACACTCAAATGTCGCTACTACCATAACCATCTTCCCGTCACAACTTTTCAACCTACCTCCATCCCATATCATTTCACCATCGTCACCACCATTCAAACCATCGTCACTACCACTTCTTCAATCAAACTACTATCACAGTTACCACTGACACCTTCAAACACCACAAAATCCACCACTACTATCTTTAAGATCAAACAGACAAGCAAACTCAAATCCCTATAGCCACCTCACCACAACCCCCACCTTTGCAATCAAACTACTATCACCACCACCACCTTCTTCAAACACACCTCAAAATCTACCAAAGAGAATTATCGAATAAACAGACAAAAAGATAAAAAGAAGTAATTAGTGTGACAACCTTCTCAAATAAAATCCAATTGGATTGAAATCGCGTCAAATTGAAGCATTTTCCATGGCCAACCTCATGCGCTGCACCTTTACCTTCTTTTTTCAATTTCTGATATTCCTCGTCTCCGACACATATTAAGTGGCGATGATTCCTTTGCAAATTGTGGTTGTGAGTTGTGGGTTGTGGTAATGAGATGAGCAGGTAGGTGGTTGTGGTGGGAGTAGTGTCAGCGGGCGACGATGGTGTAGTTATGTTGGTGTAGTATGAATTGTGCCTCGGGAAAATAGGTTAAAGGTTCAAGTTTAGGGTGATGTTTGGTGGGATGGAGTGTAGTATATCAGATTTTTGAAAGAATAAAATGAAAATATGATTTTATTTTTTTAAATGGTAAATTAAAAACTAGGATTGGATGTAATTTTCTCAAAAAAAAATAATAATAATTAACGTAAGAATATGAAGCAAGATAATGGGCATTTTTCCCAAAATTCATTTTTTTTAGAACTCATTTTTTATCACACATTCTGCCATAAAATAATTTTATCCATAAACTCAAAATTTTTCTTTTTTGTATAATCACACGTTCTCCAGAAAATTAGTATTCCAAAATATTTTTCACCCAAAAAATTGAGGTTCAAACAAGTATGATGAGGTTAAAAAGTTTTATACAATTTGTGAATTTAGTTGAAAATGAATTTTAAAAAATGGGGATCAAAATAGTTGAACTAAAAGTACCATAAGAAGCAAGTTCATTGATTACTTTATTCTACTTTCAAGAAATAAAATGACGAGCACCCCACCTCTTTTTACAAGATGAAGCTACATTATCGGATAAAATAGAACATTAGAAGTTAAGCCAAAATGAAAAAAATCAAGATTAAACGAGGAGTTGTATAGAATTTGACTTTCTTGAAGTTCAACTTTTCTTGGTTAAAATCAAACCATTCTTGAATACAAGTGCTTCGGCATCCTTGTAATTCTCTCAATACTCCAATAAGATCAAGTTCGCTTATTAACTCATATTCACATTTCTTATCTTACTTATTCTAAAACGATTATAATGTATCTTTGATGGTCAATCAACATGTCTAGATTTCTCAAAAAAATTTCTAAAAGCACTTTTAAAAAAAGTGCAAATTACAACTCAAACAAATATGTTGGACAACAAAATAACTTTTCAATCCAGCCAAAAATCCATCATAATCAATTGATATAGTTGAACATATAAAATTTTAAATTTCATAGAAAAGTAACACAGTTTGTTAGATGGTCCACATCAAGGAATGTAGTTATAAGTGAAAAAAATTACTTTTATTAACAAAAAATTATAATTATCATCACCTTAAGTTCACCAAATACCCCAAATTCAAAAAGTTAACTAGGTTTAACACGCAATCATCATAATTATTAGACTTTATTTACTGCATTAAAAAGTCTTACATTTTAATAATTTAACGACAGAAAATGGCAAAGTTATCAGGTCTTGAGAAATTTGAGTGGCTTGAGATTATCCCACAAGCCAATCAGCTTAACAAGTTAGTACAATGACAAAATAGAACTAGGGACCTACTAGGTATACAAGTAGGTGTACAGAACCCCTATTGACACCTTACAAAGGGGGTGGGGTAGGGTTAGGGTTGATTTTAGGCCATTTTTTATTTTGGATGGGGCCAACGCTTGTGAGTTATCTGGTTGGGTTCTGTGAACCTGACTTCTGTACACAAGGAAAAACTCATAGAACTGACATATTTTGTTTTGTTCCTTATACCTAGGCTCGACTTTAGACTACCAAAAATGTTGTGCATCGGCAGGGGAAATGGAGCGGGACATCTGTACACGAGAAAAAACTCATAGAACTGACATATTTTGTTCCTTATATCTAGGCTCAACTTTAGACTACCAAAAATGATGTCTATCAGCACGGGCGAATGGAGGGGGACATGGCAGCCCCAAGCCCATTTAAATTTTTCGATTAAAAATATATATTAATTCAATATAAAAAAATAAAATTTTTACCCCATATTTTCGCCCGTGTGTGAGATATTCATTTATTAAACATGCGTCATGAGCATACAAGGTGGTGCACAATATTTACTAGAACTCGAATGTGTAATTAATAGAACTTCAACATAATTATTTTTCTTCTTTAACTATTGGGTATTATGCTATCCACATCACTAGACAGGTAACGAGATTTTTTTATTTTTTATTTTTTAAATAATGAATTTGTATGCAGTAATACTAACCATGTGCATACCTAGGTAATTGTATCAGCCCTTGCATTTTATATAATATAAAAATTTGACCTATAGCCTAAATGAGCTGCCCTTAAGAGCAAACTATTATTTAATCATGTTTTGGTTCAAGAGACCGGCTTAATTGGGAATGCCTTCATTTTGTAATTTAAATTTACAAATAACATTGCATTAACATGGACATTGTCTCGAATCTAATTTATTTTAGTGTCCCAAAGACTTTTGTTTTGGAGTATATGTTGTAACATCCCCCAACTTCTAATATTTATAGAATTTTCTAAAGTTGATTTGAATTGAATTCTTAAATACTTGTAAAGGGAGAGAACGTGTAAATAACATATTCTATTGGTTTGAATTTTTCAACAACCAAATTTTTATTATAATTTCATTCACTCGAAGAAGAAAAAATTATGCTAAGATAGACATTCAGAGAGTTATGAGTTTCCATCTTGGAATGTTTGTGTCGGTTACCAAGTTAAGAGTATTGATTGAGATAAACTATGTTGCTCTTTTTAAGACGACGCCTCTTGTACCATGAGCTCAAATGTTGGAAAGTACTTGTAGAAAGTAGTTATATGATCTCTGAAAGTGTCTATAATTATTAAATAAGGATGCTAAATTAGTCGCATCAGCATAAATATATCAAATATGCTAAGTAAGGCATAGATGTGTCAAGTGGGTTAGATCGAACTAAATATCTCATGACAACCGTGTCAAGCTTGTCTTGTTTGAATTTTGTCCCTTATTTGAGCCTCATTTTGGGGGAAAGAATGCATTTTGAATAATAGATTGATGGAAAAAATGTTGTTAAAAATTAAAGAAAAATTTTTGATTTACGTGTAATATTATTTTATTGAAAATTTGTAGTTAAAAATGAGTGTTGAAAAATGAATTTTTAAAAGAATGGGGATCAAACAAGGGCTTAGTTGATACAAGCGGACAATTATCCAAGTGCGTGATTTTCATTTATTTTTTCATAAAATATAATACAAATAAAAGAAGTTAAATTAAAAAGATTGAACAAAAAATTGAACTTTGTGTATTCATTATACAAATTGTACAAATTACAATGCAAAAAATTGATTGTTTATGCATTAAATGATTTTGTTAGCAGATTCACCAATTTATAATGTCATAAAATGAGTTTATGGGGTTGAAAAGGTCACTAGGGATAATTTGAAGAAAATATAATTGCGAGGGTTACCTTCAAATTTGAAAATGTAAATAAGATATTTATCTTTATTTCAACTAAACTCATGGAAAAAACTGTAGGGGTGATAGGTTAATCATTTTCAAGGTCTTTGAATTCTCTCAAAAACATGCTACTCGATTGGGAAAGGTTTTAAACTAGATATGAGATGAGTAAACAAGACACGAACGCTGAAATATGTAAAGATCTGCAAAGCAAAATAATGTTACTTATCTATAATTATTAAATGTCACATTAAGTAAGAATTGTTTTTTGGACAATTCTAGCCTTATCTATATGATTTATTAAATATCACATCAAGTTAGAATAATTTTTTGGACAATTTTAGCGTTATAATAATTCAATTATTTTAATAATACCTTACTTTTCGTTCTTTAATATGTACTTAATTTATTTAAAGCATGTTTGGTATGGATTAAAAACTGATTTTAGTCTTAGTTAAAGTCAAATAATCGATATTAATAACATATTTCATGGGTCCCACAACTTTTCAACCACAAATTTCAAAAAATTCTATAAAAATCTACTAAAAGAATCTAATTTTAATCCCTACTAAACACCCTTCTAATTATTTAGTTATCATCAATGTACATGTATATTTAACAATTCATTTCACCTTGTACTTTGATTAATGTATGAATTTCACATTCACTTAACTACTATAATCTTCATTTATGCATTTGAATGCTATTAATTCTAATTATAAGTTAATTAGAATTTCACATATTTCATTATTTACGTCCCTATATGCTAATTAATATCCAATTTTACTTAATTAAAAATTAAATAAATGATTTAAAATTCA